CTGTCATCTTTGACTTAACTAGTCGACTTTCAAGTTGATTGTTTTTTGTCCTCATCTACCTGTTCTTTGTCGTATTGCTTTGTCACTGATTTGCTTTTCTGGTAAGTTGTCGAGATCGTGTGTGTTGTAGCTGAATACTCACCCATGCAGGGTGCATAAACCAATTTTTTGACTTGACCTGCTGGGGAATTTAGTCCAGTTCTCTAGAAGAGTTTGTGCGGTTAGTTCTGATTGCCACACCAGTTTCAACAGCCTGGGACCGCACCCCTTATAATTCGGTGATCTTTGTCAACGATGTGGCCACGACATTTTCGAAAGTCTCACGGATGTAGTGTCATTGTTCCCGGTAGTGTACTTGCGCATCGTCGGGAGAGGAATCAGTAAGCTCAGGAATACCCTGAGCAAGCACAGTTTGCTTCTTCACTTTCTCTGTTAGTTGGATCCGCTGCACGTCGTTTCCACGGGATTTCAGGTAGTATGCGCACTCCACTTGAGGCATTGCGGAGTCGATTTGCAGACAGCAGAACGGCCTTTATTTCATCCCCGAGTTGTATTACCCGAAGTAAGCAGGGTTCACCGTAGTGAAATGCGTTTGCGTGACGCGAGCTGTGTGTTAATGTCGTCGGACCAGCATGGACACCGAGCTCCGTACAGAGGGAACTTCATTGATTTCGATCGTCTGTCAGCCTACCGTTAATTGGATTTGAATTCGGGGACATTAGTGCACACAAGGTTTAAGGCACCATGTTTGCGCCTGGTGACTTGATTGTGGAGCCTTAGTTTCCGGTGCTTTTGGTGAATTTGTGAACGACACTGATGGAGGCCATCCGTGCTGCCACATTTTAGTTTTCTCTAGTCCGGCCACCAAGGTTACCGGTGCTATTTCCGGTTTTTGCTTAGCGGCAACCGATGGTTCCTCCCTATGGTTGGTTGACTAGAGCTTAGGGTCTCCCGTATGGCGAACAAACTACTAGTTGTAACACACTGTACAGAAATTGAAGCAGGCACGCTGCAGACATTCTTACTTATGGAAAGGAGTTGGTGCTGATTGAGACTGAGTCGTTCAGAAGCCTGGCTCTCTTCTTCGGCCTGAATGGGGACTTCGGTGTTATTTTCACCTACAAGTGCAGGACCGTTTCCTCACATAGGTGTAACCCTGGCGCACACTAGATGCTCGACTGCTTCTGTTAGTCTTTCACACTTCTTCAGTAGCACAGTTAAACAAGTAACAACTGGGATAGCCCTACTGGGCAGAACCGAAACATCGTCTCCTTTTTATCGGCTCCGCCCCAAGGCATTTTGTGTAATAGGTTTTCAAGCAACAGCTGCAAACTAGCCCACTCTTCACCAATCTAACGCACAACTCACACTTGCTCTTAACGTGAGACATGTTCGCCGAGGGTGTGCAGTTTAAACGTCACGTGTTTGTGCACGCTGCCTATGCAGGTGTGTCTCGCATTGCCGAGAATAAAGCGTTTATTTATTTCTCGCTGCTCCGGATTAAGAAAAGAACTGCTTATTGATTCCATTATTGACACACATTTCGATGTATGCAGTGACTTTTCATCCAAAGCTAAGAGCGACCACTCAGTACTGATAGATGATATGGAATTATCTTTACCGTATTCACATCCGCTGCAACCAGCTCCCAACTACTGGAAAACGGACTTCGATGGTCTTGCTCGAGCCGCGAGCCAACTAGATTGGTCTCTGTCACAAGCTGCATCTGTGGAAGATTGTTGGATATTTATAAAAGAGAGATTGACTTTATTGTGTTCCCAATTTGTGCCATTGAAATGTCGAAAGGTTGGACCGATTAAGCCTCATTGGTTTGATAAGGAGTATGGAAACCTGGTTCGGAGGCGGCGCAGACTGTGGGACAAATTTCTTCTCTCTGGCTCTGCCAATGATTACGAAGGGTATAAATGTCAGCAAAATCTCTGCAACAGTGCAAAAAAGAATAAACGCCGACACTTTGAAGAGCAGCTCGCATTAGCCGCGAAGATAGCCCCAAAGAGAATCTTTGCATACGTGAAGCGACGCCTGAAGCCGGCGGGTGATGTGCCAGTGCTGGATGGCACGGATGGACAGCCCCTAACCTCCAGCACTGAGCGTGCGTCCGCGTTTGCGGCGCACTTCGCTTCTGTATTTGCGAATAACCAGGTGTCTGTTCCGAGTTCGACGTGTACCGCTTTTACCGAACTCGATAGTCTGCATTGCGGCGTCGAAGAGGTAGCTCAACTACTCGCCAACCTTGACGGCACCAAACCTGCCGGATCTGATGGGCTTCACCCACTGGTTCTCAAGTCACTTTCAACCATCCTCTCTCCTGTCGTGACTGACCTTTTCAACAGGTCGCTGTCCGAAGGTTCGTTACCGGTTGACTGGAAATGTGCGGTGGTGAAGCCTATTCCGAAAGGCGGCGACCCTAGCAAAGTAAACAATTACAGGCCAATTTGTCTGACACCTATTTTGGCAAAGGTTGCTGAGAAAATCGTGAAGAAGAGATTGCTGCAGTTGCTACAGTCAAACGAGGTCCTGACGCCCGCACAGCACGGTTTTATGCAAGGTCGCTCATGCATTACGAACCTGCTTGTGACGAGGCATGAGTCGTTGAAGGCAATAAACAAGGGGAAGTCCGTCGACGTGATATTCATCGATTTCAGTAACGCGTTCGACAAGGTCAGCCATGAGGTTCTCCTTCACAAACTCAAGATGTGCGGCGTCGGTGGCTCACTGCACCGGTGGATCCGTGACTTTCTTGTTGGACGAAAGTGGAGAGTACAGGTCGACGACCATCTAAGTGACTGGTACCCCTCTACAAGTGGCGTGCCTCAAGGCACTGTGCTGGGGCCCACTCTGTTCCTGATCCACATCAACGATCTACCGCAGCTTCTCCGGTCGCCGTGTGCCTTGTTTGCGGACGACATGAAGATTTGGAGAGAAATCGACGCTCCCGATGACTGTGGCCTACTTCAGCAAGATCTCAACCGCTTATCCACATGGTCTGCAGAAGTTCCTCTCCCGGTCAACCCAGCCAAGTCGGTATTTATGAGCCTAGGGAAGGGTGCCGACGGCCGAACCTACACCCTTGACGGCCAAACGCTATATCCCACACCCTCCGTGAAGGACCTAGGTGTACTCTCACGCTACGATTTGAAGTCCGTGGACAACACGAACAGGCTATATCGGAACGGACTGCGCATGCTTTGGGCGCTCAAACGTAGCTTCTGCACATGGTCTGAAGAGGTTGCCACTCGCCTGTTCTCTTCTATCATTAGACCAATGCTAGAGTACGGTTCGCCCGCCTACTTTCCGATTACCCGAGGCGAGGCACAAAAGATCGAACGGGTCCAACACGTTGCTACCAGGCTAATCCCGAGTTTACGTGGCTTTGGGTATGAAGACCCGTGCGAGAAACTAGGACTCTACACCTTGTCCTACCGTCGGGTGCGAGTCGACCTCATTATGACCTACCGAATTCTACATCTCGGTGAGTTCCCCATGTTAAGGCCAATGCTGCACTTACGAGGGCCATGCAGCACACGCGGACACAGATACAAACTTGTCGTGCCGGATATGAAACGTGTTCCCCACCTACTGTGCTTCGAACGGAGAGTGGTAAACATTTGGAACAGTTTGCCCGAACATGTGATTGAGGCAACATCTGTGCAACAGTTCAAAACGTTGTTAGATTTGTATTTTGCCTCTATTCGATTCAGAGAACGACTGCACACTTACGATGACATATCACATTTGTGAATCCTGAAATATCGTAAGTCGAATATTTTAAATATTACATGAGAACGACAATGAGATTCAAGGTTGACAACTTGTATAACGTTTTTCGCCATATTTCGAAAGAGTTGTACAGAATCCATTTCTACTTGCTCTATAATACAGTATATCCTAGCCAGCAATATATCTACTTCTTCCATACGGGCAAAAGTTAAGGTTTTATATTCCTGCACCTCGTCGGATCGAAACTCCATCCTGCCTTAGTTATCACGCTTACTAATTGATTCATCGAGAACGAAACACTGCTTTCATGACCGTATGCTTGATTGAAGATGCAATCTTACGTTAATCGTTGGCACATTGATGCTTTGTTGTATTATATTCCGCAGTTAGTGATAAAATGCTGAAAATGCGCTCAAATGGGGCGACAAAGCTTATCTTGACTTGAATTCACCAGTCTATGGAATATCCTGTCCTCTGAACGGCAGTAGATGAAACGTGTCATATCGCAGCTAGTAACGGTCTGTCGTTGTCATTAGTAGCTTAATTAGCTAGCTCATAAGAGGAATTTACTAAGATTCCGCGGATGCGCGCTGTTGATGCGACCAAGTAAAATGACACGGCCATTCGGCGCGTTTCTGGATATGTGACGGCTGTCCCCCTATCCAGTTGCGACAAAATTCAAAACACCAACTCCTTACTATTTTCTAGCAATACGACTCGAGTAGACCAGATTAGGACCAGGTCAACAGCACTAGAGTACTGGGTGAACAATTTGAAGGCAACTAAACAAGTCACTCAACTTGAATTCACTTAAGCTGTCCGACTTCCATGGTATCTGGTACAGAGAAAAAAGAGTTCAGAGGAAACAAAGGCACGACTTGAAGGAAAGGAAGAAAATTGGAGCAAATTACATAAAGATTAAAAACAGTTAAAGTAGCAAGCTTCGGTCTAGCGCGTTGCGGGCAAAAAGATAACAAGAGCGAAGAAGGCCAAGCATAGCCAAACCCCAATCGTAGCAACTAATAGAAAAAATTGATAAGATTAACAAGATATGCAGCTGAATGCGAAGCGATAGTGAAAAGGGGTTCATTGGCGGGTACAAAGGATTTCAACTGTAACTCAGTTCTCTGTCCAAATGTGCCTACAGCTCATGCATGAATATTTAGTCGTACTTGGCTCATCAGCGGACCTCGTCTGCATTTGAACAAAGTAAGCTCGATTGTAGCCACATTTAGGACATTTTTCTTCTATCTGCGCAGAGGAACTGTATTCATCATCGATGGAGAAAACCGCATCTTCTTCTAACCGCAGACGAACATCTTGTCTGGGTCTGTGTTCTTGCACCAAAGGCTGTGTCACAAACCACTGGTAGGCGCAGCATGGAGTGGAACAATTCAGGGAGTAACAATTGGCCGACTCCTCAATCAGAAGCAGAGAATGGCAAAGGGGGCAGAACAGCACAGGCATTCTAAAACGAAGAACTAAGAATTATTACGAGCAAGAGAAAACAATTTTACACATCAGAAGCAAACAATGACGAAATGGCGTCCAGCCACTGTACGAATGTGCGCAGTTGAAGTTAGACAAACGAGGATCTGACCACGTGAAAAAATCCGAAGCAACACTAAATTCGCCGTACAATGCATGTGACCAAATCCTACGAACAAGTTGCGCGGAAGCGTCCCATTCCCCAACAAACGATGTAATCGACAGGGCCATCAGTAGTCCAGCTGTGCAGACCAACTGTCGGAGGGGTGTTGGGGTAAGTGAAGAGTTATAAATAAAACAGTATTGATTGGTTCGGTCGAATATTTGAAAAGCGTCACTGACATGTAGGCGTAAAGCAGCTAGATGCCGTTTATTACAAATCGTAAGGAATATCAGAAATAAACATGACCAGACTGATGAATAGTGATTTTCAAACACTGCCAATTAAAAACCAAACGAACTTCTACATATCGAACAGTGGAATACGGTAACTTCAGAAAACACGATCGAGTAGTAGCCAAAAGAATCAGATTCGGCGTGGTCCATTTCAAATAACAAAAGGACGCACCGCCAACAGCATTACACCAACCATGTGCTGATGCTTCGCTGCCGTACAACGACCTACGGAATGAAAAAATCCACGCGTTTCGGAGGATCGCCCAAGAACACACACTACCGACCGAACGTCGAGAATTCACAAGACTTTAGGTATTAGCCAAGTATCATGCTTCTCAATCTGTCAAAACTATTCGCCTCAGCTTTCGTACGAAGATCTAATTCCATATAACGCGCGCAACAAAGACGTCTTAGTTTCCGCCAGCAGTGGGTTACACAGCATCCGGTTTCGGATTTGCCTGTCACTGTGGTCAGCCACAGGACGCCTGCGCCTACAGAGGGACCATGGGTGGCTTGCGCTGCACCACCCACAGCTCCAACCACATACCCCATTTCCAATGTAAACCCGAAGGAATAAGACCGGGAGGCATGTGGATGGGAGCCACGTTTCATCAACGGAGCCGGCCCAAACTCCTTCACAGGCAAACACAAGCACGCTGTATTTGGGGAATCAAGCGCACACAAGGCAGTGGCTGGACTGTAGTCAGCTCCACACTGAGGGCATAGAACCGCTCTTCGAGTTTAGCACAGCCACAAGGACCGCGCACCCGGTCCCCTTCATCAACAACCAACTGTTTCCTAGAGTCAGTATTAACGAGGTAGTGGGTAATCGACAGGTAGGCACCTTGTCAACATGTACATCAAGCGCAGCCACACCGGGGTGGCAAACAACCGCCATTCACTTGAAATGACATTATCAAGTAAAATACACCTGTTAAAGAGTACGGCTATGCAGACATAACTCTTCCCTAAATTAGCATATGAAGTAAGTTGGTTAGCAACGAATCCGCGATAAGTAAAAGATGTTCACAAGTTACTTAAAAATGCCACAAACGCAACAAAGTTACCGAAGATAAGCGCAATTAGGGTAAGCAACGTGGTGAGTTAATAGAAGATTATTCAGGTAGGCAGAACAAATCAAATAAAGTGGAATGATATTTATACAGTTTAAAAAGACCTAATTTAAGTGTAAGTTGGTTTAGCCCAACTGCAGTGAAGAAGCACCAAGAATGCAACATAAGCCTCTGCATGGAGGACATTAACATACATAGTTGGCTGCATCCGGTTTCGGATTTGCCTGTCACGGTGGCCAGCCACAAGACGTCTGCGCCTAAAGAGGGACCATAGGTGGCTTGCGCTGCACCACCCACATCTACAGCCACGCACCCATATCCAGTGTAAACACGAAGGAATAAAACCGGGAGGCATGTAGATAGGAGCCACGTTCCAGCAACGGAGCCAGCCCACACTCCTTCACAGGCAAACACAAGCACGCTGTATTTGGAAATCAAGCGCACGCAACGCGGTGGCTTGACCGTAGTCCGCTCCACACTGAGTGCATGGAACCACTATTTGATCCTAACACGGCCACAAGGACCGTGAATTCCGTCCCCTCCAGCAACGACCAACTGTCTCCTGGAGCCAGTAGGGACGAGGTAGTGGGTAATAGACAGGTAGGCACCTTGTCAACATGCACATCAAGCGCAGCCACACCGGGAATGTCAAACAACAGCCAATCACTTGAAGCGACGATATCAAGTAAAACAAATCGAATAATGCATACAGATACGGAGACATAACTCTTCACTAAATGAGCGTATGAAATAAATTGGTTGTAAAAGAAACCGCAAAGTTAAATACGTAAGAAAATATATCTTAAGAAAATGCCATAATCGCGAAAGTGTTATCGAAGTTAATACGATTAGCTTAAGTGACGTGTGCAAGAAGATAGCTTAGGTAGACATTAGGAAAAAAACATTGGGACGATACAGCAAACCCACCACCTGAAATAAAGAGACTTAGCATGCAAGCACGCGGTTAGTAAATCGAATGCAGTGTACCTACAAACGCTGAGCCGGTTCTGCCGTCATCGCTTCAGTGGTGGCCCTGAGTGGCCTCGCTCATGGCTCACTAAGCCTGCCTGACTCAGGCACTCGCAACTGCATGTGCCACAGCACCACGCGCTTGCTCTCAATGGAGTACAACCCATCGGCGCCGCTCGCTTCCGCAATTGCCGCTTCTTCTCTGCATGCATGAGGAATTTCCCTTGCACCTTGGCAAAGGCCTTCGTGATCAGATCGAGTCGATTAAGCGCCTTCGATTCCCATGACCTGCAATCGAGATTAGAACGTGAGAGGCTCACTTTGATCATGTCCTGGTAACGTAACTTCGGTTTCCCCACATGCCGCTTCCCTATACTCAGTTGACCATATAATAGATGTTTCGGTTCCTGCGCCGGATCCATACTGCACACATAACCGAGCCACCCCAGGTGTCTCAGAAAAAGTATGCAGTCCACTGCATACATCACACTTTGTCGCAACATTTCCGTGTCCGCAACTCTGTCGCACCAACCGATGCGCAAACGCTCTTGATGGAACCGCTCAAGATGTCGCACATCCCGACGGTACATCGTCCACGTTTCATTGTCGTACAGAAGAACGGACAGCACCATGGATTTGTACACCATCAGCTTCGTGCCAATGGTAAGCTAATGGGTGTTCCACACTCGGTACTCTAGCTTCCCGAATCAAAAGCACAAGACAAGATTGCATGAAGATATGTATTAAACAGGGCAGGAGCTAAGACACAGCGTTGCATCACACCAGAGACAACTGCAAAGTCTTCCGAGGTCTCTCCACTCAGCTGCACCCTCGTTCGCATACCACTGTGCAGACATTCAATTAAACTTACAAGCTTACGCGGGCAACCAAACTTACCCAACACCAGCCACAATGCCTCGCGCTTCACCGTATCAAATGCCTTGGTGAAATCAACAAAAAGCGAGTACAATGGCTGGTGTCGTTCTCTGCACTTCTCCTGCAACTGACGAGCCGCAAATACCATATCTATAGTGCTGCGACCCGAACGGAATCCACACTGCTCTGCCGTCACGTTAGGTTCCACAACCTGACTGACGGGGCCGTTGAGCAAGATTCGGGCAATCAACTTGCCCACACAACTCAGCAAGTTGATGACACGATAATTTGTGCAACATTGCTTGCTCCCTTTGCCCTTGTACAATGGTAGCACAAAGGCATCCTTCAGCTCAGCAGGCACATCCTCCTCAATCCATACGCGTTGCACCAAGTGGTGTAGCGCAGTCACCAACGCGGGTCCGCCGTGTTTCAATACTTCAGGCGGGATCCCTCGGCACCGGCACACTTGCCGTTTCGCAGCTGAACAAGTGCGCTTTGAGTCACATCCAGTGTCGGCATGTCCGCCAGACTCACCTTCACATCGTGCTGCTTCAGGCCGTTCAATGTAGGCCAGTCGATCTCTGAACGGTTGTTCAAGAGACAGTCAAAGTGTTTCCGCCAGATCTGCATTATGTCTGCAGTCGGTGTGCAGGTAGCGATCAGCGTCCTCAGCGGCTCCAATCTCGGTCCACACACCGTCTTCAAGGAGCCAGAAAATTCCTTGTGTTGGCGGCGTTCGGCGTATCATTCCATCTGCTTCGCCTTCTCCGTCCACCATGCATTTTTAACGGGACGGAGCTCTCGGGTCAGTCGCCGTCGAAGTTTGCGAAACTGACACTTCTTCCCCAAGTCACTGGGGTCTGCGACATGTGCAGCAAATGCTACATTCTTCTCCCACACCAATCGTCGCATTGTTCTCATCAAACCAATCAGGCCGCTTACAGTTTGCGAGCCCGATGGTCTCACCGGCAGCAGCTGTCCCCTGGTCGTAAATGTGGTGCCACAGGTCGCCCACTGTGGCTATGCAGTCCACATCACACGGGCGTGCAGCCATCGCCTTCTCCAGCTCAATAGCGAGGGTGAGAATGTTAAATTGACGCCGATTCACGGCGGAAATGCAATACATAGATTTACGAAAATATAGGTGCAGTTTGGTCCGCACCAATTTGTGATCAGTGCCACACTCAGCTCCACGCAGTACACGTGTCATGCGCACTTCACGCATGTCACGCTGACGTGCGATGACATAGTCGAGCAGGTGAACTTGACCGCTCCGTGGATGCGTCCAAGTTGCTATATCACTCGCACTCAGTGCAAACCGAGTGTTCGTGATCGTCAGGCCGTGAGTGGCACACAGTGAGAGCAGCCTGTCACCGTTCGCATTCGCTGAATTAATGTCATGCGGACCGATAACAACTGTCTACACCGATGCATCACGCCCAACACGCGCGTTGAAATCACCAAGCAGAAATAGTCGGTCGCTCCTCGGTACAGGCCGTATCACGGAGGAGAGCTGAGTGTAGAATTGATCACGCGTGTCATCAGGATAACACATGGTGCTTATAAAAGTAGCAAACTTACCTCTTCCGAGTCGTAGGCGAACAATCATCAGTCGCGCGCTGATGACTGCTGGTTCACACACCAGGTGGTCATGGAGGCGATCAGACATTGCAAATCCGACCTTATGATCAGGTAGTGCTGAGGTGGCGTTGCCCACCCAGTAGAATGTGTAGCCAGCACCTGCTTCATGCAACATACCTTGCTCGGCGAGCCGAGTCTCATAGAACGCCGCAATATCGATGTGGTAGCGCGCCAGTTCCATCGCGACGGGTGCAGTGCGTCGCTCGGGGCGCTCACTCGAGTTCCCGTCCAGTAGTGCGTGCACGTTCTAGTACCCGATGCTGAGTGCTTTGCGCGCAGGCATACGATCGTAGTGGTGGGCAATCGCACGCGAGGTGGC